AGTAGGTTGGAGGCCATGGCTAGTAGGTTGGACTCTATCGCTAGTAGGTTGGAGGCCATGGCTAGTACTAGGTTGGAGGCTGGAGGCCATCGCTAGTAGGTTGGAGGCCATCACTAGTAGGTTGGAGGCCATCGCTAGTAGGTTGGAGGCCATGGCTAGTAGGTTGGAGGCCACATCAGCAATTTGCATTGTTTCCTGCAGGCGCCGGCAATACAGATTGACAGAATCCTGGATCAAAACATGGCCGACTCCAAAGGGTTGTTGACAAAACGCTCGAGCATTGAGAAGGACCATTGTCACTATGTGGACGACGGTGATGATTGCGAACCGCTTCTCCAGGTCCAGACTGGGCCTGCAGCGCTTGATCTTCCACAGCAAGACCGAACTTTCTCCATCAGCGGCAGCATTCTGATTCCCGGGGTCAAACACATGTTGGACAATATCCAGCAAGATGTTCTGTCCAAGCTCAGCTGGTACCCATCATTCTCAGTGGCTTGTTGCGATTTAACATGGTTTGCCGTGGCCTAGACCAAACAGTGTGACGAATTTCTTGCTGTTTGGAAGAACACACAGGATATGTTGCCAATGTCTGAAGGTCACTGAACGCCATTTCTTTGCCAGCCAGGAGATGCTTGCTCCGTTGGTGAGCCTATTGCACAACAAAGGGTACCGGGATCGCTTGGTAGCATCTTGGATCCATTGTTCTGTAGAGCTTTGAGTTGCTTTCTTCACATTTAGTCAGTCATTTGGTTGTGCGTTTTCCCCAACGAGCATTCTTCAGGATGCAGGGCTAAGGTTCCAGTGAACTAGTCACTAGTCCATTTGAACGGGAAAAGTTTTGTGGTTATCCTTTCATTGCCAAATCCAGGAATCGTGTTTTGAAGAAGGCGGTCCTCTGAAGGAGTATAGACCGCTCATGGACCGCTTTGAAGGAGGTGCGTTAATCCATTGGAGATGGAGTTCGGTCACATCATGTGTGAAGGCACTGCTGAAGAGAAGAACTCCATTGGAAAAAGGCACCAGCAGCAGTAGCAACATGCAAACGACATTCGCCGTTGTAATCCAAAATAGCATTGTAGGCAGTAGGCAGTAGCAGTGGCAACAATTAGGTTTTGGACTATATTTAAAGTTTCACCAGAAGTTCAAGGCTAGGGCAGTAGAGTAGATGGACACCGACAAACTGCCAGGCTGGAGCGCCCAGAAGTTCAACTCGACTGAGAGACTGGCAGATCCCAGCAACATTTCTGAATCCGTCAGCGCTGCGGTCCGCAGCCGAACTTTTTGGGGATACGCGAAATTGGTTGACACTTTGGCGGGGGCCATCGACATCCAGTCCATGTGGGCCGAAGGTTGCGCGTGCCATGAACTGGACTTGAAAGAACATCGTTGGTACCAAACACGAGCGAGAGCTGTTGCCAACAGATTGCACGCTGATGCAGCTGGAGCCGCAGATGCAAATGCTGCAAATACAGCGCAGCAACAAGCCCGACAAGGCCCTGGGGCAACAGCGGCCCCCAGCGATGCTTGCAAGCTGAAAGGGCGAAGGGCGCATGAGTATGCTTGTGGTGAATACGATTCATTTGTTTCGAACCTCCTTGCAGTGGGAAGGGAGCAAATAGTTGCCGTGGCCTTGGAAGTGTCTGAACGCGACAGGCCTGTTTTCTTTTCAGACTGGGAGGCCGCTACTGACATGATAGTGACCCAAACAAGCCTTCGAAGCAGCTATTGGAAGACTTTGCCATGGAAGCTTGCCGGTATGGCGTCGTCATGCCCTGAAGAAGCCAGAAAGATTGCAAGGGAGAGCAAAGCATTGTATCTTGCTTCCACGTCTGCTGGTTCAGTTGGCCCAGCCGGAGTTCATCCTGTCACCCGAAGGTTTTTCGATCCAGAGTCTTTGCTGAACAAGGATGCACTGCAAATTTGCAAATTGTCTCCCCATCTCTCAATGCCAAGTCTAGTTCAGTTTTGGGCGAACGACTACTTTGACCAATGCCGCCGGTCCCGTCCCCCAGGATTTTGGGGAGCATGGCCTGCATCGTCAAGTTGATGAGTTCATCAACGGCGTGGCGTTGAGGGATTTGGATGGCCCTCACGGGTTGCGCCAGTGGGTTGGTGCACTGCGGCTCCTCAGGTGTTGCGAACGGCAAACAGAGGTGAGGGAGTGAGGGCTTGTTTTTGCATCCCAACTTGCTCACACCATACACAACACACACAGTCTTCCTATAGTATGTTGTTTTTCATACGCGCCGCCTGACAAGGGGCAACACCGTGGCATCAAACAAACCTTGGGCAGAGCGCCGGCTGCTTCAGAGAGCTACATATCCGTTGAACTTCGTCAGCCAGATATCCAAAGGTTATTTGGCGACCCAGAGGCCAGCGGGTAAAGGGTCCAGGTCTAAGAACGAAACTGTGATGTTTGGATTTGATTCCCATCCCCCGCCAAGATGGTAGGGATCCTCTAACCAACAATGGCTCTAATGTGTTAACTGTAAAGGGTCCAGGTAGGTTAAATATATTCATTCATTCAAGGTAGGCAGGGTGTCGGTGATGAGGAATTATTTGATGTCACTCATGTTAAGTTCACTTCTTTTGAGCTTGAGGCTCAAGCCCAAAAGGAGTGCCTCTCCTGAAGAAGCGAAAAGGCATTTCGCCCGAAGCTGATTCATAGCATCTCAAGTCAAACTTAAATGATGCAGCCGAAATACTTATTAACTTTTATATAACAGAATCTGCGTTTGCTTGTTTGGGCCTGGGTCACCCAGGGCGGGCGTATATAAGCGCAAGGTGGGTGAACTTACATTATCAAACGCCTTCTTTTGCGTGAAGGCCTTGAGATTGGCTGCAGAGCGCTACCAAGTATTGAACACGGACAAGGGTCTCCGCGCTGCTGTTGCTGAATCAGTTGGTGGGCCAGATTGCGATTCTCAGCTGAGGTCAGTCATCCCCAAACAGTTTAGAAGTAAGGGCTTACAATTTGTTTGGCAGCCCCTTGAAGTTGACCTCCCTATGTTTTGTCCGATGTCTGATGTCTTGCCTCATTGTGTTGTTTTGTTTTCTGTCTTGTTTTGTTATCATGAAATAGCTATCCCAGTTCCAGGTACCGGCAAGCACTCTGACATACAAATCAATGAGGAGACTCCTTTATGGTCGGACGCATCAGTTTTCTACTGGCACTACAACGCAGCCAGAAATGAAAAACAGTGTGGCAGCTCTGTTGTCGAAGGAAAAGAGCGCCAATGCAAAACAGATAGAGGATCGCCATGGCCAGGGTGTGGTCTCCAAGCTGCTTTTGAACCATTTCCGTGAGTGCATGAACCCATCGGGGTGGTACTCCATGCCAGAAGCAATATTCAGCCAACAGCCTATGCGACCTCTAGTTGATGCTCTGACGCATTCTCTCCCTCCACGAAATGCTCAGGCACAGAGCAGTTCCCTGCTACCTGTGGCAGACAAAACTTCTATGGCCCTTTCAGTTTGCGACCGTGAAAGGTTGAAGGAGTTGACCCAAGCTTCTCAAGGGAACCTCACCAATCTGACTCCCTTTCTGGCCATTCGAGACACTGATGAAGTAGACAATTTCATCAAGCGCAAGCGCAATGTGGGCAACCAGCCAGAACCCGCTTTTGTCGAGAGCTCTGACTCTGAGGCTGTAGGGTCAGCAAGCGCAAAGCCACCTGCACCACAAACGAGGCAAGAGGTTGTGCATTCCAAACCTACATCCCAGAGCTCCATGCCAACGGACATGTTGTCCAGGGATATGGTTCAGTTTGCATCGAACAGTTCTGGTCTCATTGTCTTTCGGGTGTCAGACAAGAGGCCTTCTTTGAAGAAAAGACCTTTGGCGTTTACCGATGCCCTTACTACAGATGACTTTACGATTAGACTGTACAAGGTTGAAGAAGCCACTGCGACACATGTGACAGTTTCAGCTTTGGACCATCCAACAGTGCCATTGGCCAAGCTTTTTTCTGGTAGTTCAGACAGTTTTGTTGATCACCTGCTTCAATGGTCTGTGGCTGAGAAGGTGAGCTGTCACTTGAATGTGCAACAACACCAGGTGGGGGAGGCAGCTTTGGAGTTGATTCAAGATGTGTTGGAGGCTGGCGCGGTCTCTGGATCTTCCAAACACTTTGACACTAGGGGCATGGCTCTAGTGGACACAGACTTGGTGGAGGACCTCATCAGGACGTCCTACTTGAAGCCGACCAACAACGGTACTTGTGTGCAGTTATGCAGTTCTGCTTTATCTCTTCATCTTGTGCTTACGGGCCCACGTGCTGTGTTCGAGACACGAGTCGGAAGTTCTCATCAGCTGGAGCGCGTCAATCTGAAGCATGGATCTCGACCGACACAGTGGGAACTATTCCTGCAACTTCGCAGAGATGGCTGGCTCAGGTCAGAGTGGCAGGGTACAATGAAGGAACTCAAAGGGACCATTTACGAACCGGGCATGGACAAACGATACTACCAAGATGGGTTTTGGTATTGGCTGTGCTTGTTGAATTCCAATGCCCTTCACAGCGCAGGGTTCAGACTGTTTCATGGGCAGTTAGAGTCTTTTTACCAAGCAGCAATTCATTTGGCGCGGGAAGACCCAGAGAAACTATCGTCTTTGAAACCTGGGCTCAAAGCGGCAGCCTACAAGGGCAAGACCAGCGACAACACGTCAGTGAGTTTTCTCCAGATCACGAACGGTGATGGTGATGATAATGATCCGGCTGATGTCGACCAGGCTGAGTTGTTTTGCCAGGAGGCCAGGGCTTGTCGATGGACGGTGGCTCTATTTCTTTTGTTCAAGATGCAGAGTCTTAATGCCCAAGATTCAAGATTTCAAGATCCACACATTGTTGGAACTGTTGATCTGTTACTGGGCCAGGAAAAGGAACATCCAGAACTTCACAGTCTGTTTGGGGATGCGCAAGACCAAGACAACAAGGACACCAAATCTCATTTGTTTGCTTTCTAGTTTGTAATAGCTTTTTTCTCGGGTCTAGAGTTGGGGCATGCAAGCCTTAATTACTCAAAGGGCACAGGCTGTGAATTCAAACCAAAGGTGTGCCGGAACGATAGGTCTCTCGAAAGCATGTTATATATATATACATATTGTGTTATTTCCAAAGGTCAGGGGGCACAGGGGAAGATGTTCAAACTCAATGGGCTGTGAGTGCATAATCCTGGCTACTGTGCGTTTGTGCATCGACACATTGGTGATTGCACTCCCACCCACTCCTGCAGATGAGTCTTTGTGTTCGGTGGCGTGTGCAGATGAGCCAACAGCGCGTGTCAAATATCATGAATGCGTGTTGCCCCTCCCACCCACTCCCGCATTTGTGTTCAGTGGTGTGCGCAGATGAGCCAAATAAACATCATGAATTTGCACGTGTCGCCCTCCCAACCACTCCCGCAGACCCGCAGATGAATCTTTGCGTTCGGTGGTGCGCACTGAGCCAAAATCGCGTGTCAAATTTGCATGTGTTGCCCTCCCACCCACTCCCGCAAATGAGTCTTTGTGGTCGGTGGTGTGCACAAATGAGTCAAAAACGCGTGTGTAGCAGAGCACAGGAGTAAAAATCATGAAGTAGAGCGCGAGCGCTGGTGCAAATGAGCCAAAACGCGCGTGCCTAAATGATCCCCCCAGTCAAAAAACCGTTCACTCTACCTGCGCCCGAATTCAAACAGGAGTTTTTTTACCAATGCCAGGACCCGCAGCGGACTGATGAAATCAATGAAGAGAAGGACCCAATGGACCACCTGCCGACAGAGTTGCAGGTGCATGCTGCATGGCATGCATGGCATGTCAAATCTTCAGGTCTTAAAACTTAAAGCAGTCGCCAGGCAAAATCAGGCAGTGGCAACCATTGTGCAATTTTCATTTTGCGTGGCCAGTCAGCGTTGCTTGCGGATACCACCTGGAGGCTAAATCAAGGCCGCGACGGCGGAGGGGCAAGCGCTTGCTTGCGCAAGTTGAAGTTATTGAAGATTCCGATGCCGAGCCAGAAGTTCTTCCAGCCCAGGCACACAACTCCCACCTAAGTTGATTTGCGCTGTGCCGATGCTGTCTTCAACTTGACGGCGGCGCGATTTTTTGCTGTTTTGGGCACAGCTGTGCCAACAAGTTTAATAGCAATCAAGAATAGAAAACAAGACAGCCATAGATTTTGGGATCTCGTCAGGTGCCATGGGCCCCCATAGTATGGACCCCGCACAGGATGAGACGGACAAACGTGGTGGAGGTGACGGTCCTCATTCCGAGCTTGAAATCACTGACAAGAAGGCCTGGCAATTGGCTCTTAGCCCACCTGGGCTCACGCAGAAGGTCTTGCGTTTGTTTCCTCTTGCTGTTTGGTGGGTAGAAGGTTGGTTCATGATTCTACTGGGTACAGTCGGTACAGTGAGATGTGTGCATTCTGGAGGCCGCCCTGGAGGCCAAAACTGAAACTGTACCTGAAGATCTGCACCGTGCATTGCAACAGGACTGGTTGCCGGGCCGGTTGGACAAGGAACTTCAGAGCCGGTGTATTTGACGTATGGCGTGTCTTAGTTCCAGTAGTGGCGCGACTATAGAGTTTCCAAGTAGTTCTAGACACCACTCACCTTGCATGGCTCAAGATTTGTATGATAGACATAGATAGACCTATTAGACCGGCGTTTCATTTCAGGGCAGGTCAGCGTTTTGGCATGGATCCGTTGCCGCCTAGTGCGAAGAGGCAGCGTACTCTGGCTGAGGAAAGCAAGGGGGCAGCCTCAGGCTCAGACAACGATGCTTCTTCATCCTCTCCTTGGGAGTTTGTCCCATCTCCACGGCCGCCCTTGCCATCCTCGCCTGGGCCCCGAAAGGACCGGGGGTTCTTCCTGGACTGGAATGTTCAGTGGCAAGCCAAGCTGCACTTGGAACTGAGTGAGCGGGGCATACTTCGATTGGGAGACGTGAAGGTTACTTCTCGACTCGGCCAAGTTTTGAACCTGCAGCATCCCGACTCAGCGCCTTACCATCCAAGGTTGGTGCCACCACCCACTTGCAAGGACTTTCCGATTCATGTGGCCTATGCCAGCAAGAACACTGTTGCCCTTGAGTGTGACAGTGGCCGCCCTGCCGGCGGCCCTGATGGCACCCTTTTGACTGAGACTCAGACCCAGAACTCGGACAACAAAGAAATGACCGGAGATGCAGGGCACTACCAACCTCATGGATGTGATCCGGATAGTTTGCCAGAACTTCCCTTGGAACAGCCAGAGCTGGAGCCAATGGGGTTGTCGCAAGAGACATTGATATTGGGTGAGTTTCCTCCTGGCTCCCCATACAATGATGTAGCTACTACGCAGGTTGAAGAGCCGCATGAAGGATTCCCCCAGTGTGAAGAGCCAACGGCCTTGTTTGCGCTCTGTGATTCACAAGAGGTGGATGATTCACAGCTAGTGTAGCTAGTTTTATGTGAACTGCTCAATCAATGTGCAATGTGCCCGAGAGGTTTTTGAAGAGATATTTTTGTTTAGGGCGGCTGTCGCACCTGCAACGCTTCGAGTTGGGATGGGATCATGGCGCGGCAGCTTTGGAGAAAACAACCAGCGTTTGTTTGCGATCGCTGATCAAGACCATGCAAATGCACATGCCTGGAGTTCATTGTACTCAACGGCAGGTGCTCTGTGTGCACCGTCTCTGTTCCTTACTTGAACCGTGAACCAGGCCCTTTTCTAATCCTGGAAGGCCTAAGGCTACAGTTATATGTACAGTAAATAGATGGACAGGACATATTACTCATATATAAATGTTTTGTCTACATCTTGAGTTCAGAGAGAAAGAGAGAGACTCTTTGACTACAATCAGGCTTACCAGGCTCAGGGTACCTTTGCATGCTGCTACAAGACCACAAGGACAGCAATTATACTTGCCACAGGAGCTGGTGGAGGAGAACTCCAAGCCAACAATGGAATTCGAGACTGTTACTGCTGAGGCTGGATAGGTTCAATGAAGCGCTATGGACAACGGTGAGTCAAGAATTGAACAATCACGCTACTGTGTTTTGTATCCAGGTTTTACAAGTGTGTTCAATAGCAACCCAAACCAAGCATAGGCAGGAGCCAGGAGCCCTGCTTTGCCAGGAACATGTTCGTGATGCTAGCCATGTGGACGCTTCTGATGCTGGAATGGAGGCGGGTTTCCCAGTCCCAGCGGATCAGGGACTTATACAACATATACTATAGCCAATTCTGTTTGTTGAGATGCAGCCGGTACAGGCAAGATGTGTAGAGTAGTGCACTGTTGATTGAACAATAAATAACAGCTAGTGGCCAGCTAGATCGATCATGTTGAAAAGCGATGTGACACAATGGCCCAGCTACACCGTGTTTGGTGTAGCAATCCTTTTTGGCTGGAAGGAGCGACCATGCGACGACCGCCCAACCTCTGAAGTGGATGAGGTTGCCAGTGAGCTAGAGGCGTGCGTAAGGTACTGCGTTGGGGGTAAACAGAAACAATCAACGTTAAATAACACACAATCAGCAGGCGCGGCTGGCTGTGAGAGCTGGCTGTGAAATATCACAAAGCAAGACTTTGAAAGAACATAGGTGCAAATGCATGACAAACGCGAAAACAGGTGAAACCAGGCAAAACCAGGTGAAAAAAGAAAGTAAATAGGTGAAACTAGGTGAAATCAGGTAAACATATATACAAAATCCACAAGAACAAGAGAACAGATACAAAATAAGTGAAAATTGGTGAAACCAGATGAGAAGGTATCAAATGTTACCAAAACAAGAAAATAGGTGAAAATAGGTGAAAGGGTATATGAAAACAAGTAAATAGGTGAAAATAGATGAAAATAGGTGAAAACAGGTGAACATCTCACAAAACAATAAAATAG